GGGTAATCGGGATGGGTGTATCAGAGGCGGTGCGGTTGGCGCAGGATAGAGCAGGGTTTAGGGCTGTTGTGCATAGGGTCGCTATGAGTTGGAAACGACTCGACGGCACATAACAACAACACAACAACTAAGGGTTTTATCTGGCCCTGCTGAGACCCCCCCCTTTCTCCCTCAGTGTGATTCTTGGAGCTAATGCTCAGCCAGACCTGGATCTCCGGGACCCTGTCTGTGAGGACTTCTTCCAGTTGTGGCAAGACATAGCTGAGAAAAATGCCAATATCTATGAGCAGGTGGGAGTGGCCTGCAGCTCACGTAGAATGAAGAGAGGCTCCCCAACCCAGTGGTTTTTGGGAGGGAATAGAGGTGGGGGTGGGGATAGGAATTGACTATCAAGGCATTCAGTGGTCGAGGGTCAATGTGAGGGGTATTGAGAGATAGGATGAGAGGAAGACCCTCAAGAGATGGACTGACACAGTGACTGTAACAACAGGCTCAAGTATATCAGAGATGGTCAGGATAGGACAGGGCAAAGTTCAGATCCATTGTTCATGGGGTCACACCTAACGACAACAACATGGGAGGATTGTGGGGGTCCAGCCCAGGACTGTCCTCTTAGGAAAGTCTCCCATGCCTTATTGTCTCCTGCTCACCCCTCCCACAGATCTTCCGCTGCTTGCCGTCCAATGCCACACGCTCCATGCGGGCACTCCGGGAGTACGTGACTGCAGACCCTCTGGCCATAGTGAGCCCTCCCTTGGCACGGTCTGAGCTCACCAAGGTCCAGGGCCACCTAGTCCACTTCCCCCTCAAGTTCCTAGAGGAAGAGTCTTTGCTGCCCCCCCTCGGCAGCAAGGAGAGCATGATACCCCTGGAGGTGTGGACGTAGCTATGGCTTTCCGTGGTGGGGCTGAGGTTGGCAGCTGCTAGGCTTCCCCCATCTGGCTCCTGTCCCTTAACATGAGACTGAGAGGGCTCCTGTCTGTCTCTTTACACTAATGGACTGAGGGCAGTGCCCTCTGAGACCAGGAAGGGGCAGGCATCCCTGAGGGGTTATTGAGAAGACACAGGGGACCCCCCCTTGGGGAGCAGCCAAGGAAAACACTCCTGACTCTAGAACGGGGAGTCAGGAGAGGAACTCAGAGGACAGTGTCTTCCTCGATGCCTACTTCAAACCAATGTGACCACTGGGATTAAGAGGATCATGCCTGAAGGAGGAGGGCCCTCTGCCCGGGGCCTTTCCCACTGCTCCCCTGGGTCCTCACCTGCCCAGGGTCTTTCCCAGCCTATTTCTGCCAAGGTGGAGCAAAGGTTAGAGTCACTTCTTCCCTCAGCCCCACTCGGGTGCTGGACTAAGCACCACTGCCAGCTGCTGACAGACACTAACTTTGTATCAAGCCACTAAGTATTTCATAAATAAAAGTGTAGAAAATGTGCCTTCCTCTTCTGGCAAATGTGTGTGCTTCTCTGAGTTCCTTACCCTGTCTGTACAGAGCACTAGTCCCCTTATCTATGGGAAAGGACATTTTCTATCCCACTCCTTTCCTCTTCCTCCAGTCTCTAGATCTCCTCTAGATTGTGGCTTCAAGAGCTCACTCACCTGGTTGAGGAAGAAAAGGAGTCCACCTAGTGATGCCTGGGGAAAAGGGAGGGCAGAGCAAGGCCAGGGCTCCTGGAGAATGAGGGCACAGGCCTCACACTTGCAAAGGCCGGGAGGCCCAGAGAGGCTGCCTGTAGTGAAGACCTATGAATGCTCCGTGGGAGGGGGTGGGGTTTCAGGGCACATCAGGAAGAACTCCTAGGTAAGCTAGATGACCTTGTCAAGTCACATCACCTTTATGGGCCTCTGTGGTGCCAGCTGGAAAAGAAAGCCATGATGAGCTTTCTATAAAGATTCTGTCATTGGCTTAAATATTGAACACTTCCCTGTTGTTAGGCACTGTCAACTCACAGCTGACCCTCCAGCAAGTTTTCAAGTAAATGCCTGGGAGGAGATTGCCCATTTTTTAAAAAAAATTTATTTAGGCGCATTGCCATGGGAAAGTCTGCTGTTAGGGACCTCTCCAAAGTGCTGAAGAGCAGTGGTGTCTCTCTGGAGACTAAAGTGCGTCTGATACAGGCCATGGTCTTCGCAATCACCTGTTATGCATCAGAGAGTTGGACAATGACCAAGGAGGATAGAAGGAGAATTGATGCCTTTGAGCTGTGGTGCTGGAGAAGAGTACTGAGAATACCATGGACTGCTAGGAAAACAAATAGATTTGTCCTGGAGAGGGTTAAACCGGGTGGCTCCTTGGAGGCAAGGATTCTGAGGCTCTGTCTAACTTACTTTGGACATGTAGTGAGGAGAGACCGGTCCTTGGAGAGGGACATCATGCTTGGGAGGGTGGAAGGACGGCACAGGAGAGGAAAGCCCTCTATGAGGTGGATTGATTCAGTAATTGGGATGGGAGTGTCAGAGACAGTGCGATTGGCACAGGACAGAGCGGAGTTTAGGGCTGTTGTACATAGGGTCGCTATGAGTCGCAGGCAACTCGAAGGCACATAACAACAACAACATGTGTGTACCATCAAATCGGATCTGACTGGTACAGGAGGCGATTGTTCCTCCTTCAGCAGAGCATCTGGTGGATTTGAACCATGCACCTCTGGGATTGCAGTGCAGTTTCCTGCCACTAAGCCATCAGAGCTCACCTGATTGCCCATTTTTATCCCATGAAGCAGCTGGTTCCCTGGGAGGTGCAAGAAAGGTTTGGCATTCTAAAGACTATGGCCAGGAAAACCTATTGAACAGTTCCACCCTGCAACACAGGCCATGTTCTAGACCCACAACAGTGAGTACAAAAAACATTCTCCACTCCATACTAGAGCTCCTCTTCCCAATACAAAGGCCTTAACTACATCTGGTTATTTAAATTTAAATGGGTTAGAATTAGAAAAACGTGTTCCTCAATCTTATACTCAGTCTTGTTACATTTCAAGTGCTCAGTGACCGTGTATTACTAGTTGTTGTTTTTAGGCACCATTGAGTCAGCGACCCTATGAGCAATAGACCTGATCCCTGTCCCATTCTGTGCCATCCTCATCATCTTCTGTACTTGAACCCATTGCTGCTGTCACTGTGTAAATCCATCTTGTCACTGTTGTGGTGATGTTATCATGTCCTTTGAGTCCTTGTCCAAGGTCTGGTCCTTCCTGGCAATATAGCAAGAATATGTGAGAAAGAGTTTCAAAATCCTTGCATCCAAGGAGCAACCTGGTTTCACACTCTCCAGGATTGACCTGTTTGTTCTCTTGGTGGCCCATGGAATGTTCAATACTTTTCTCCAGCACCACAGCTCAAAGGAATCACCTGTTCTTTTTCTGTCACCCTTAGTCATTGTCCGGTTCTTAGATGCATATCAAGCAATCAAGAAGACCATGGCCTGGATCAGGTGCAACTTACTATCTAGACTGACATTGTTGCTCTTTAGCACTCTGGAGAGGTCCCTGATGGCCAGCTTTCCTATACAGCAACTCATCTTTTGATTTCCTGACTGCTGGTGCCAAAAGTGTTGATTGTGGATCCAAGCACGATGAACTTGCTCACATCTTGTTACTAGTGACTAGCAATCATAACGGACAGCACAGACATAAACAATGTCCATCACTATAGAAGAGTCCAGTGGACAGTCGAGAAAGGAGCTAGACTACCCGGCGTTGTTTGTGAAGGAGCATAGCATACAGTGGATTGAGGAGGGTGCTTATGTCTGGGGTGGGCAGTGAGAAAGAGATAGGATAACAGGAGGTATACAGAAATAGATTTAACTCAAATCAGTAATTTATTTCTTAAACTGAGTGCTGGGTATATGGATTTTTTTATGATATAAATTTTCACATATTTTTGTGTAATTTTCTCGCAATTTTAGAAAAGATTAGTATACATCTTGGGTTGAATTGTTTACACACACACACACACACACACACACACACACACACACACATTCCCCAAAGCCTCAGAATTGATACAGGAGTGTGAGGAGACTAAGGGAAGTGGAGTGGAGGGTTTAGGAAGACTTCCTGGAAGAGGAGATGCTGGCTCGGATGACAGTGGGAGGAGAGAGAATTCTGTTGCCTTGTTCTCATCCTTTTATTTGAGTCTGGACCCTCCTTTCCTCACAAAAAGCCACTTCCACACAAGAACTCCCCCTCCCTCTTATAGCTGTCCCTTGGTGCTAATTGGCATCCTATTAATTAGCTTCATTATCAGCACTAAGTGCCTCTTTCCCTGAGGGGACCATATCATTAACTCTGGAGGAGGGTGGAAGCAGCACCTGCTCCAGGCTTGGGAAGGGGCTGGGTGGGCTGTTCCACAGGGTTGGTCTTTGTTCTTTTATAAAGAACCAACAGTTCAACATTTCCTACATGTAAAGTTCAGGTACTTTGATTATCCTTTGAGTTGTGCAACCATTTCCACCCTCTTTTTATGAGCAGTTCCTCTCATTAACAAACTCACTGCCTTCTCTTAAGGTTCTTAGCCAGTCTTTTGAATTGTTGTTGTGACTTTTTTATTTTTTATTATTTTTTTGAATTAATTTTAATGAAAATTTACAGAAACTTTGGATTCATTGTTGCACTTTTCTCCCTGCCCACCCCTCCCCACACACACACTCTTCTCTTTGAAAAGTAAAAGTTCCCCCATTGTTTTACAATCCCTCCCTCGTTGTGACTTTTGATTCCAGATAGATAGATAAATCTTAAAAGTGCAACAATATTCAAGGTGATGGAGATCTGGTGGCCAATTGGGAAGAGGCTACGTTGCCAAGGCAAAGGCACGTGGTTAGAATCCATCAGCTGTTCTGCAGGACAAAAATGATCTCCTTTCATGCAATTTAAAGCCTGTGAAAACCCACCAGAAGCTCAGCTGTGAGTCAATTCCAACCAAACAGAACATAACAACAATGTTCAAGACAGACATTCTTCAGCAGTGAGTTAAACTATCATTTTACAAGTTGTGCCAAGAAATCTGGAGAACGACCACTTGGCCAACTGACTGGAAGAGATCGATATTTGTTCCTATCCCAAAGAAAGGCGACCCA